CGGAATATACATTGATTTAAAAAAAATGAACTTTATATATAATCAAAGTTGCCGGGGTCGCTATATGTTTTACCAGGATTACACAAAAATTGCTAGTTCTGATTGGTCGAATCATATGATGTTTACATGTAAATCATATGATATTATATACACAAAGTTGATGTACAATCTATTTTATATGAAATTGGAAATTTGTACACCCTACCCTTAAAGTGATTTTTTAGAGTTTAGTTGAACAATATAGTCACGGGGGTTCATATTAGCCCATTTTTATAGATTCATTGTACGTAATTAGTATTTCTAAATAAAGCGGGGAATTTGCCGTAATGGATACGTAGGAATTTCCCTTCTTTATACAATATATACTGTAGATTAGTCAGACGAATACGTAAAGAATAGTTAATGAGCTTATACGTACGTACGTATGTACAGTGCGTAAGTATATCTGATATTGTATCACGATTATCCAAACAATTAACATTTCTAACATTCATTGGCAAATATGAATAGCCAAGAATCTGGTCTTGAACCTGATGAATTATAGTCAATTTACTGGAATCTCGGTCATGATCTGCTATTTGATCCTAATCTTTCGAATCAAGTGCCTTATCCAATATTAGAATATATATAATGTTACAAACAAAATCCCGAAATAAAATCCCGACGGAAACCATGTGACGATTAGTATCACATTGTTTTTTTTTACTGTATCATCACTTTATTGTCTAATTATTAGACTAATTATCTCTGGTAGTTTGAGTAACTATCAAATTCCTAACAATTACAATTATAAAATCCGACGGATCGGACTTTTGGTTTTAATTTTAGCATGTAGGATGTTAGTCTCGTAATTAACTGTTTCCTCAAGTATTTAAAGTTTTGACAGGTGGATAAATAGATGCTCAAAAGATGGACAATGCATCGCACCCAATTGGTTTACTATTTATGATTAATTATTCAATTCTATAGTTATCTCAGTTGCAAAAGTGTATCACAATAATTCGTTATCTTATAGTTATAGTTAGCATTATTAGTCTTTATTCAAAACTTAAAACCCGTCATTAAGGAGGGCTCCCATCTTTTTCGTCTAAAGGTCTTACACTCTTTTTTCTCTTCATTTTTTCTAGATTTTTTTTATCTTGACTAGAAAAGACTACCTTCTTTTCGTTTTCCTTTTATAATATTCTAATATTCTCAAATTAGCTTTCTCTTATTCGATTATGGCTTGTGCTGGCGTATGTAAAAGTTGGGCCAAGCATGCTACTCTTATAAACAACTGTTATCCTATCAATTCTGGTGAGACGGGTCCCAGATCTAGTGAACTTTCTTATCTCGTGTTTTATGCAAACTCGAAGCCTGCTAAACTCACAAAATGTGGTGCTTATCTGGAAAAAAGAGTAACTACCGACGTCAAAAAACGCAGGAAACAGTAAGGAGCTGTTTATATATAAATATATAATATATATATATATACACACACACAATAGATCTACGATTTCTGACTAACTCTTTTCTACTTTAGGGATACTGAAGTTTCTTTACAAATTATCAAGGCGCTTCTGGAAGCTTGCCATAAAGACTTGAAATTATTTTCAAAGAATATTGTAAAGATCATTACTGCCTCCTTGAGTACAAACGATATTGATTTGGTGGCTTGCGCTACTTCTGTGGTATGTTTCATGTTTGCATGTTAACGTAAATATATATATATATATTTATTTATTTATTAATTACTGGCACTATTTTAGTTCATTACTTTTTGCCATTACTATGACGGTTCTACGCTTGGTGTCGACACTGAATTTACTGAAATTTACGAAGGTTTAATTGAATTGTTTGCAAAATACGCAACCATTAAAGAATCCGATGCTAATAATGAGAAAAGGTACTTCTTTATTTACTAAATGTTTTTTTTTTCTTATTACACGTTAAGAATTAATGATTTAAAATTTCTAAATCAGGTATCGGTTTATCGGTATTTATGCTCTTAAAAGCGCAGTAACTTCCGACGCTTTACAACCTACCAGTGCTAAAGTACAATTGCGACATATTGTTCCGGCAATTTTATATAATTTAATTGATGATCTGAATGGATTAGAAACCTTGCAAAAAGCGTAAGTGTCAATATTAAAGTACTTTAATAATATAAGATTATTCATAGAATTCTATACATTTATATATTAATTACTTTTTTTTTAACAAAAAGTGATCATGAGTTGGTTAATGAATTACGTCGTTTTTCCGCTAATGTTACAACTATATCTGTCAAAGATAATACAAATCTGGCTTATAATTGTTTGAAACAACTATTCGAAGTGTCTGATCCCTCTTATATAAATTATTCTCTTGAATCTGCTTTTAATTTTTTGGAAGATACTGCAATGTGGGCACAAAGTAACTTTATTATCAGTTTAACTTCAACTATTCTTTCATCGCTCAAGGTATACTTCGTTTGAAATTTGTTGGTTTAATTATGCCATCTAAATTAAGTTATTCTAAACAAAGTTATTCTGCGCAAACTCGATTGTCTCACTCGATTGTCTCATTAGCAACAATGTAGATACGTACTAGTTGATTACATAATACAGCAATTAGAAGCTTTACCAACTGGATCAAGTCCTACTCCAAAAAAGGTCTCTCTGGTTAAAGCCTTAACTTTCATATTGACTAGTGATACCCCTCTTGTTGGGCTTTCGATACTTGAAGTTTTAGATTGTCTGCTTCGTTTATTGTTGAGTTCTTTGAAAAATAGTGATTGCATTAATGAATATGATAATGCTACTGATTCTAATGAATCGGACTTATTAATTTGTCAACAACTCACCTCCTGCATTGGTTAATATCTTTGAATTTTCAATTATTTAATGTTTCTAAAGATTTAAATTTAAATTTTAATTTTTTCTTTTTAACTTATAGGCGGTCTGGCAACTCATATTTATTATGCAAATCAAATCGGTGATATCATCGAGTATATTATTCAACATTTACGTTTACACCCTGAACCAATTGAAAACTCTCAACAAGGAAGTAGTCATAGTTCAATTATGGAAGGTTGTCCATTACCTGAATTACGTAAAACATTATTAAAATGTTTAGATATAGTCGTAAGAACTAACAAAGAAAATGGAATAAGACATTCTGAAATTACGAGATGTGAAGTGCCCGTAGAGGTATTTCATAGTTCAATCGATCTGTGTATGGATGAAGACCTAGGTATGTTAATTTGTTCTGTATTATTTACGATCAATATAATAGTATTAGTCGGATGTTAAAAGGAGTTTATCTTTAAATTTAGGTGTAAGGGTTGCATATGCCCAAGTTCTTGCAAGATTTTTGGATAATGGCAATATGCCAAGAGAGTTGAAGGAAGCGGATTCGACACAGGTTAACTTCCATAATAATTATAATACTCATAATAATTATAATACTTATAATAATTATAATAATTATAATAATTATAATAATTATAATAATTATAATAATTATAATAATTATAATAATTATAATTATATGATTAACTTATTCGTAAATTAATTATCTTTTATTAAATTCTTAAATGACCTATTTTATATATTTTATATAGTTAACTTACTTTAACAAACCAGCTATCTATTTCTTAAATTCACTTCATGTGTCACTATATCAGTATGCAATGTTAAAAATTTCACATCCTGCTGATCATGTGGCCTTATTATCATTATTGCGTGCTTTATTGGTTCGATTCAGGGCAGATCAAATAATTCGTGGTATTCCAGTTGTCTTCAAATTACAGGTAATAAAAATAGTTAATTATGTAAATTATGTTTAAAATTATGTGCGTTCTTACAATTTATTTACATTTTCTAGTCTGAAGCTAAAGATGAAAATCTTGAGGGCTTTGCTCAGCAAAGAGCATTAGCAAGTGTTATTTTGTTATATTTCCGTGATATTGCCTCAGTATTAGATATCCCAAAATTACATGAATATATAGATGGGGTAATTTTAATATTAATTCATTAAATGTTTATATTTTTACGATAGCACAGAATTATAACGATATTTTATTTTATGTATCAGGTCCAAGCTGAACGTATGGACAAACGTCAATGGTCGACTTATATAAATGCAATTTCGTCTGAAAACAATATAAATAACACAAATATGTTGAAATCTTTTGAGGAAGAAACTCTTGATGAAAATAATTGCGCATTACAACCTGTTGACGTTTGGCTTGATCGACAAACAATTGTATCAATGCTTTGTCAACATAAGGAATTAATGGACATTGGTGGTAAAGATTTAGAAGTTAGGTTGATGACAGAATGGAAACCAGAGGAAGGTTTTGAAAGTGTTAAACAAGAAGGATATCGAATCAGATCAAGTAGAATATTAGAGAGCGATAAGCCTCGTATAACTATTACGTCATTTATGTCTTTAGAAGACAGTTCTGGTGATTTGCCGAAAGCATCCATCAAAGTGGAAAACCTTAAAGATGCTCTTGGTAAGTATAATCAATAATAATAATAATAATAATAACCATCATAATAATAATAATTGTAATAATAAATTCATTATATTTGATTATCCATAGTAAACACTGAGTTATCTGAGCATGATACATCCGTGGCATCAGACATTGAGTCTTCAAACAACACGTTTATGGGCGAAAGAAAGAAGAAAAACAAAAGCGATAACAAAAAGAGCGATATAAATGCCTTTTTACACTCTTTAGGTACTAAGAATGCTTCGAGGTATGTTGTCTCTGATTATAGGTTTGCACTATTGGAATTCATTTATCATTGATTAACGAAACAAATTTTATTTGTAGTACGACAAGTTTAGTAAACCCACCATATCGAACTTAGCATTTCTGAAAACTAAATATCAATCTTTATTATCAAAAACAGTTTATAATTTTATTTGTTCATTCACTTATTCTCACTTTTTGTTACAATATCTTATACATTTTGTTAGCAAGTTTATTGTATAATATATTTTAGAACTTCAAGTTTATAACCTAGATATGTATAATTGGGATGTCATATGATTCACATTCAATAGACATTTTAGATCAGTCACAATTTGTGAACTGAGACTTTTACTAACTCTTAACTCTTAAATCAAGATAAGTATGCATTAACGTTTTTTTTTTTTTTTTTTGTACTTTCCACAACAAATTGTTTTTATAAATAAATTGCATTAAAAATGTTTAATGGATTTCAAAATATTTAATAATAGTTATGTTGTTACTACGCATTTACATGCTATATATGATCCGTTAAATATTTTTATTAATGTGATATATAACTCTTGAAAAATTGATTGTTCAACAATATCTTTACCAAAGAAAACTTATGCAAAAGAATTAACAACGAACATTCCCACGCTTATGTGCACTCGACAGACATTGATTTACAACTTCCAATAAATGATTATTTTCCAAAGCAGCAGCAACACGTTCTTTATCATTCAACTGTTTATTAACTGTTTAGAATTACCATTCTTTATTAGTTTATTCAATAAAATAAATAATCTAATCAAACTGTAATTTAAAAAAAAATACATACCAGCTTGTTCAGATTGATGAGTACCTTTTCTAACCATAATGTCAACTTTAAACCTTTCAGGCAAACTCCGTAAAAGCCTTACACGAATACATAAACCAATTAGAGTAGCCATGGAACAGTGTGGTATAGTTGGAGTGAATTCAATACTAATATAAGCATTAACATCGTCAACTTTAATGTGATCAAGTTGTGTGACATTTAATTCTTCAAGAGTTAATGGATGTTCGGGGTCTGATATTGAACGGATTAGATCTGTATAAATTTTTTTAAAAGTATTGGTTAGTATAACTGTTTGAAAGAAAGATCTAACAGCTTTTTTTTTTTCAATTATACCGACCAAATACTTCTTGGGAATCGATTATGTCTTCAAATTCCTCTTGTTCCTCTGTTTCTGTTAGAATTCGGTGAGAAGTTTTTGAAGGCTTGTAGATGGTAGGATTTGCATTGATAAGTTCAGGCATAATTATAATTATAAGATTGCTTATTAACGTTAAGATTCGAATTTAATGATCTTTAACTATGCTATCGTTACACCCGATACTTTGATCTGAAATTTACCCTGATAAAATTTTTTGGGGTACATTTTTTTTTTTTAGGGCTTTAAATTGGCATCTTAATAATCATGAAATATGCAATACATTTTTTTTATAATCCCAAACTTCGTTTCTGCTAATTCCCAGCGGATCAAGATAAGGCCGCACAAAATTATACAATTGGTTTTCATATCATGGGACAGTTATCTGTGACCTGACCGCACAGCTTTTTTTTTTCAACCATTAATTTTTTTTAATAAAAATTATCGCTCTTTTAAATTAAACTACACAAACTTATACTATCAATTTTTATATCGCCGACTACCGTTGATCGGCGATCTGGGATTTTAATTTTCTTTAAAAAACTAGGGTTGAGGGCACGAGGTTGAGAGGCATAACTACCCCAGGATCGCCAACAAAAATTACTATGTAACTATGATAAATTTTCTCGATCACGTGATGATCTACAACAAATTATCCAATAAAGAATCTTGATTTGGTGTAACATCACGCGATCAAAAAATTTCAAAACAAACGTCCCTTTAGAAAAAATTGCCTTTATCGCTAAAGAAACAATCCTTTATGCATTAACAAAAAAAACTCCTCGAGTAATTTTACTATATCCCCCTTAATATTCAACCTTAATTTAAACGCTTACCCTAACATAAACGAACTTAAACAATTTTATCGATCATCACGTGATCGAGAAAAATTTGTTGGCGATACTGGGGAAGATGAGAGGCATGCCCCTATCATGTGATATAGGAGCTATTATATAATTGGCCAATTAGAATTAAAACCTACTATTGCTAATTACGATATCTATAGGGGCATGCCCCAAAAATTTGCCGTGCCCCAACCCTACCTACAACCCTAATAAAACTTTCTATATTCTTCTTTTTTATTCTTCGTAGTTTTATTTTTTAAAAAAGTACTTTAATTTAAACAGCCAATCATACGAAAGTCTTCCTATGGATTTTATACATGTGACACCCCAACATCATATGATGATTATCATATTACGCAAACGCGTTAGCATGGACACGCGGCGCGACCAGATTATATAACATGTGTTTATCAGATTTGATTTTTACGCGGCTTTTTTCAACCCTTTATAACAAACTGAAGATTCCAGAAGAAAAAGAAGTTCTTTATAAAGAACTCACAGCACTTTTGTACCAGTATTTATAGAACTAGCACTTAGTTTGTTAGTTAAGTATTTTTTTTTAATGCTTATTCTTTTTTTACATTAATTAATAATATGTACGCTCTTTTCTAATATAACTGGGTTATAATTCACTATAGGATCCCAATTTCAAGTTATGTCACAAAATCGCGCATTTTTATACTTTACACTTACACTGACTCGGATCGCAATTACTAACTCTAACTTTTTTACTTAATTTTATAAAATGCAGTGCAAAGTCGAACATTAGAAAACAAAATACAAATGACGAGTTGTGTTATGGGAAATTACTTTGGACATTTCGAAGTTTTGAATTTTATTCGAGTTGACTTATTAATTGCAGGTAAATTTTAGTCGCTTATATACTTTTTAATTACATGTATATATGAAATAAATCATAAAGTTAACCTTTTCCTATTATAGTATTGGCAGAGGCGGATATTAATTTGGCGAGGGTCTAAGGCGCCTACTAAGTATCGATATGTAAATATTTCAATGCAACTTTAAAGAATGTTTAGGTTTGGGTATTTAAGGACTTTTATTAATTTTATTTTGTATGGGAAGCAAATTACACGCTTCATAACTTATTTTGACAAGAGGAATTTTACCTCTTATTTATAACAAAATTACAGGGCAAGAAAAAAGAACAAGATCGAACGTTTCGTCATTAAACCGTCATTAAACTCAAGCTATACGACCCTTTTCTAGTCTAATGTTCAACCCTTACATACAGCCATTCTCATTGAAAAATTCGATGGAAGGAAAAAGAAGGCAAGTCAAATGAAGGCTTTTACGTCATTATCGTTCTTTACCTGTCGATTCACTCATTTATTTATTGACTCATTCGTTGACTCGTGCTTTTCTTTTTTTCACGGCTACACATTTTATCCGACAAGGCAATATTACCTTTACCGAATCGGGTAAGCGTCTTTTTCTTCAATAGGGTCGTTTGATGGGGGCTTGGCTTTCACAAGATCAACGTTTAATGCTTCAAACGGGTTCCTGACTTCAACAGGTTTACTTGCAAATGATCGTCGTTCGAAAATCGTGGGTCCGGGGCATTGCAGTACAACGGTCTTTTGCGTAACGATTCGTAGGTTCATCGTGCATCGTTCCGCATAATTCTTGATTTCGGAGAGCACAAAGGTTAGTTAATTTTTCTATGGACAAAAGCGGGTCTTGACTATGATCCGCTCCAATAGGAATAGGTTAGTGTGGTGGCTACTTGAGCTTCTTCTATACGAAGAAAGGGATCTGTATCGTGAGATCTTTGCATCCCTCCGCAACATAGCTATAGTAACTTTTTGCTATGCTCTTCCGCTCTTTTAATTAAGAGCTGCCGCGTTGCGCTGCTTCAAGTAGCCTAAATAGATATAACCTAGCATCCTAAGCCTTTTGATAAAGGCTAAGATTCTAGAAATGGGATCTATTACGGATGTGTTTATATCTAACACCTAATCCGATTTAACTATTTGAGACATTACGCTCATTTTTTTTTGTAAATTTTATAGTTACAATTTAAAAGCTTTACATCCTGGCCTAGGTCGAAGTGAGAGTTGGTCTTACGAATTAGAATTTTTTTTTCAATCGTTACTGCGGCATTTACGAGATTTGCAGTTAGCCTGTTAAGTAGTATTTTCTAAGCCTTTATTGTTATTATTTTTTTTAGAAAAAAAATGTGCTTGTCACCGGCGGTGACAAACTCCTGTGTAATGTATAACTAAGTCGGAGAACCATTACGTCGAAGAATCATTACGTCGCATGCAATCTAATCTAGTTAAATGGTATTTTATTTGTGTATTTCAGTATTTCAGTATTTCAGTATTTTGGTTTTCTTTCACTTCTTTTTGCTTATTTCTTATTTTTTTTTTTGTTTTCCTTCGCTTATTCTTTTCCTTCGTGCTTTTTCTTTCGTTCCTCTTTTTTTCTTTTTTTTTTTCTTTCTTTCGTTCCTCTTCTTTCTTTTGTTCTTTTTCTTTCGTTCCTCTTTTTTTTCTTTCGTTCCTCTTTTTTTCTTTTGCTCTTTTTCTTTCTTTGGTTCTTTTCCTTTCTTTCGTTGTTCTTTTTCGTTCTTTCCTTCCTCTTCTTTTCTTTTGTTCTTTTTTCTTTTTTTCGTTCCTCTTCTTTTCTTGTTCTTTTTCGTTTCTTTCGTTTTTTTCTTTTTTTTTTTTTAGTTTCGTTTCTTCTTTTTTAGTTTCGTTTTTTTCTTTTTTTTTCTTTTTTTTTCTTTTTCGTTTCTTTTATTTTCGTTTCTTTTTTTCGTTTTTTTTCCCGATTACTAACTCAATTATTTAACAAACTAACTTTTTTAACGGATTTCTTTTTCATCGAAATTTCTTATATCGAACTTTTTCAGCGAATTATTTTTATACCGAATTTTCAACAACTATTTTTATACCGAACTTTTCCAACAAACTTTTATACGAGTTTTTGTAACTTAGACCGAATTTTTTAAAGCAATTTATTATAGGATTTGGTGTACGTAGAAACAGTAAATTACTATATACGGAACTTTTAAAAATGTTATTATATGTAAAAGTTAGTTCACTGTAAAGAGAGTCGACTATATTTCTATTAATACTTGTACAGCAAAATAATGACATTGAATTAAAAATAAATTCAAACTTTAAGAAAACACGATATAAGTATAACTTTTTTTTTTTCTAGAAGTGAATATTTTTACTGGTCGTTGTTTTTTTTGCAAAAATTTAATACGTTGTTTGATATTTCTTTTATCCGTTACCTACACTTCGAAAATTTATTGTGATATTCGAAATTCATATATATTTTACCGTTTGCTAAAATTCGCAGTCAAATTTATTTTTTTCAATATTTGTCATAACTAGTAACCGTTTCTATTTAAAAAAAAATAAAATAAAAAAAATTGTAAGCGAAAAACAAAAAATTTGAAGACTTTCCGGAGGCTCTTAGGTCGGAAAATCATGTGACTGCCACCTCGATTATTGGTTATGCTGGTGCTTTTCCCATTTAACGAAATAAATAAACTTTTCAACGACAAAAATCATTATTGAGGGGTTTCAGAATTAAAAAAAAATAGCGTATTTCGAAAACAAGTAGGAGCTTAAAAAATCTTATTTGTATATCAAAACTTTGAAATCGGAAAATGAAATGGGAGTGTTTAGAGACTCCCATTTAACGAAATAAATAAACTTTTCAACGACAAAAATCATTATTACAAATTTGTCGGAAAATGAAATAAAATCGATACATCGCTCATTTGAAAATAAATACGTTATCTATTTCTATCAAAATTAGTTTTCCGCACGTTAATTCTGAAACCCCTCATTATATGTATCATAAAACTTTTGATTAGGTTTAGCACAATATAGAGAGTTTTGCATTATGATTTCATCAACTGACTTAGTTTGTAAATCGTGTAGAGCAATTTTAGAAAATATATGGATCGCTAAATAGATATGAATAAATTGATCCTAAATGAAAGGTTTAACAGCATTGTAACTAAAAATAGGTGGTCTGCAAATTAATAATTAAATATGATTAGTGTAATAACAATTATTAATAATAAAATATTCTGAGTAAATATAAAATGAAACCTTTATTTTTTTTTAATAAGGTAAAACACAACACATTAAAAATTAAGAAAATGATCTATGAAACAAATACAAAATTCGGAATTTGTTAACACAGACATTGGGTGTATTATTGCTCCGCCTTCGGACAACCATATAACGTATAATATTCGTGTTGAATAGACAGAATG